CCTTGTCCTCCTCTGCGCCGTCGGCCCGGTCCCTCCGTCCCGGGATGCCCCCCAACCTCACCGGCTATTACCGCTTCGTCTCCCAGGAGAACATGGACAATTACCTGCGTGCTTTAGGTAACTCCACCGGCCTCATCCCGCTCCTTCCTCCTCCTTTGCTCCTTTCTGTCTCCAAAAATGTCAAGTCGGGAAGGGGAGGAAGGGACGTGGGGACCCTCTGGTCCTTCTGTCTGCTACCATCACTTTTGCTCTGTGGTGGGAGCAGGGGAGGAGGTATCATGGCTGGGGCTCCCTGGCCAAGAGTGGAGGAGCTCTGTGAGGATGCGGTGGTAGGTTTTTGGTTAGACTGGATGATCTTAAAGTTCTTTTCCAACAAAAACGACTCTATGATGCTGGTAGAGGAGGGGCCCATGTCATCCATAGATTTCCCCTCCCTCTCATCCTCCAGATATCAATGTGGTCCTGCGAAAACTGGTTTGTCTCCTGAAGCCCGATAAAGAGATCATCCACACGGGAAATCACATGGTCATCCGCACGATCACCTCCCTGCGGGACTATGTTATGGATTTTGACCTGGGAGTCCAGTTTGAGGAAGATCTGGGACCCGTGGATGGACGCAAGTGCCAGGTGAGAAGCCCCAGTTTAACAGCAGACTGGGGTGCACTAGAAGTTCAGGGACTTGCTCAGCTTTTGATTCACCAGCGAGATGAGCGCCCAGCCCAGAGCTGGCGTGCCCCTGCAGGTCCAGGAATAAGTGGTGGTTCTATGAGTAAATCACTTACAGCAAAGGGGATGAGCACTGAACAGACAGGAACCAAATACTTTGGGACCCAGAGAGTCCTGTCCTCTGGAACAAAGCCCTGAAAAGACAGAATGTCAGCTCACTTGGCAGTGCTCTGTTGCACTTGGAAGCCAGAGGGTCATTCACCTCCCATGACGAGCACCAGTCCCAAGCAGCCACCAAAGATACACCAGATCAGGGGCTGCATTTTAAAATGTGTCTTGCCAGGACCCGTTTGACTTGGGACCATGTCTTCCCCTCTCCTTCTATTTCTTTTCAGACAACTGTTTCCTGGGAGGGGGATCAGCTGGTGTGTGAGCAGCTGGGAGAGAAGAGGAACCGAGGCTGGAGGCACTGGCTGGAGGGGGACCAGCTGCACCTGGTGAGGAGGGGTCCAGCACAGCTTCCTAAATCCTAGTGGCAGTGGGTGGAGGGGACACAGAGCACGGGTGCTGCGGGCTCTGAGCCAGCCGTGCAG